GGGGTTGTGATGGATGTTTTTGAGTGATGGATTTTGTGTAGTGATGGATGTTGTTTTGTGATGGATGTTGTGTTTTTGATGGTTGTGTGTGAGGGTTTTTGTAGTGATGGATTTTGGGTTTTGTGATAAATGTTGGTAGTGATGGAGGGTTGGGGAGTGTAAAGGGTTGTGTAGTGATGGATGTTGGGGTGAAAATGTTGTTTTGAAAGGGAAAAATGTTGTGTAGGAGGGATGTTTTTGGTAGTGATGAATGTTTTTGTAGTGTTGAATGTTTTTGTAGTGATAAATTGTTGTGTAGTGAGGGAATGTTGTGTAGTGTTTTTGTTTTTGTAGTGATGAAATGTTGTGTAGTTTGGATGTTGTGTAGTGATGAATTTGTGAAATGATGAAGGTTGTTTTGGTGAGGGTTGTTGTGTAGTGATGATGTTGTGTAGTGTTGGTTGTTGTGTGTGTTTTGAATGTTGGTAGTGGGGGGATGTTTTTGTAGTGTTGAATGTTGTGTAGTGTGGTTTGTTTTTGTAGGGGATGAAGGGTGTTGTGTGAATTTTTGTGTAGTGTTGAATGTTGGGGATTGATAAATTGTTGTGTAGTGTAAAAGGGGTTGTAGTAAATAAATTGTTGGGTAGTGAGGGAAGGTTGTGTAGTGAGGGGGATGTTGTGTAGGAGGGATGTTGTGTAGTGATGGATGTTGTGTAGTGATAAAATGTTGTGTAGTGAGGGGATTTTGGGTGTAGTGGGGATGTTGTGTAGTGATGAATGTTGTTTTGTGATGGATTTTGTGTAGTGAGGGAGTTGTGTAGTGATGGATGTTGTGTAGTGATGGATGTTGTTTTAGTGATGAAGGGTTATTAGTGATGGATGTTGTGTAGTGATGGATGTTGTGTAGGGATGGATGTTGTGTTTTGATGGTTGGGGGTTTTATTGATGGATGTTGTTTTAAGTGAGGGGATGTTTTTTGAAATGTTGGATTTTGGGGTGTAGTGATGGAGGGTTGTGTAGTGGGGGGTTTTGTTTTGTGTGATGGATGTTGTTAGTGAGGGATGTTTTTGAAAGGGGATGGATGTTTGTAGTGATGGATTTTTGGAAAGTGATGGATGTTGTGTAGTGATGAAAGTTATTTTAGTGATGGTGTTGTGTAGTGGGGAATGTTGTGTAGTGAGGGGATGTTGTGTATTTGATGGACTTTGTGTAGGGGATGGATGTTTTTTTTGTAGTGTTGAATGTTTTGTAGTGATGGATGTTGTGTAGTGTTTGAATGTTGTGTATGATGGATGTTGTGTAGTGATGAATGTTTTTGTAGTGAGGGGAGTTTTTTTGTAGTGATGGTGTTTTTGTAGTGATGAATTTTGTGTAGTGTGGATTTTGTGTATGATGGTGTTGTGTGTGATGAATGTTTGTAGTGATGGATTTTGTGTAGGATGGTTGTTGTTAGGGGATGAATGTTGTGTAGGGGAGGGATTTTTGGTTTTTAGTGATGGATCCCCTTGATTGTGAAACATTGTCTTATTCTCACAGGTGTTAGTTTTTAAAATTATTTGATCTCCCCCACCTGGGGGTATAATTCACCCTCATTTTCTCCCACTGTTTTTCCCTTTAACTTGGGGTTGTCCCATGTGTTTTTCTTTAAACTACTGCTATACTTTTTTTTTTTTCCCTGGTAAATTTATGACTTGAAAATGGCCCCGGAGGGGCCCAAAAAAGTGTTTTAAACTTTTTTTTTGGGATGTTTTTGTGTGAATTGTTCCAGATGTTACTAGACTACGGGTTTCTTGTTGTTACGTTTTAAATTTTTTACAGTACTTTTCTATGGGAGGTTGATAATAAGTAAAGTAAGTAAGTTTATTCCCCGGGATACCAAATACAGTTACATAGAGTTATTTTTACATAGCAGGGATATGTGTAGAGAATGGGATAAAACCCCAAAAAAATCAAAACAGATGACTTATTTCCATTGGGGTCCTTTACTTAAAGGGCCCTTTCAAACTGGGCCCCCTACATTGGAAGTTATGGTAGTACTCAACTATTTAAATGCCCTTAAAAAAAACAATAGTGTAAAATTATTGCATAAAAAAAGGAACATTTTTTTAAAAAGTAGTATTGTATACATTAAACAAAAAAAGTTTTTTTAGATAAGTAATGCGTGAAAATATTTTCCCAAAATTAAAAAAATTTTGGGTTCTTTTTAAAAATCGGGGAAGGAATGTTTGCTTTGGAAAAACTAAATTTTTTTAGGTTTTTTCCCCTAATGTATTTGCTTGTGTTTGTAATTGAAAAGTGTCACCCAACCTTTAAAAATTTTTGTTGCTATTTTTATTAATTTTTAAAATTTTGATGAGTTTTGGAAATCAAGGTACAAACCACGAAACGAAAAAACTAAGACGATTGTAAAAAAGTAACAAAAATCAAAATAAAAAAGATTTAATCCATACATTAATTTTTTTGGTACTTTTTTTTTTAAGAGGGAATCCCAAAGTATTTAAAATTAAAAAACTGTTTTTCATGCATAGAGTTAACGCAATGCAAATTTTAAGAGTGGTAATTTTTTTTTTTTTTGTTAGTTTTTTAAAGAGAGATTCCATTCGTGTTGTGGGTTTTGATAAAGTCCTGGTAAAAATGAAGAAGCGAAACAAAGTTTTATCTAGGAAAAAAAAAAAGCGGAAAAATGCCCAAAAATTTGCCAGTCAAAGGGGGGAGGAAGTTTCTTAAATTTAAAAAAACTAGCAGTTAACCTGTTTGTTAAATTTGGAAAAAATTTAAAATATATTTTTTAGGCGCTTTTTAGAAGAATCGCCAAAAATACGGTATATAGGGGTTTTTTTCCAAAATTTTTGCAAAAACTGCAGCCCTGTGTAACCGGGTTTTTATTATCAAAACTTCATTTTGGTTTATAGATATTTAAACTGTTAATTTATGAACTTTTTCTTTGGGTTTTGTGACTTTATTGGGGGACCCCATGTTAATATAAAAACTTGTCTTTGTTTCTGTGATTGTTTCTGGGGGGGGACCTTGTTAAATAAAAAACTTGTCTTTGTTGCTGTGGGTTGTTACTGGTGAAACCCCATGTTAATTTTAACAATTGTCTTTTTTTGCTTGATTGTTTACTGGGAAACCCCAAAAGTTAATATAACAACTTGTCTTTTTTTGTGTGATTGTTACTTGTGACCCCATGTTAATATAAAAATTTTTTTGTTGCTGGATTGTTACTGGTGGACCCCATGTTAAATTTTTTTAAATTGCTTTGTTTCTGTGGGTTGTTACTGGTGATTTATGTTAAAAATAACAACTTGTTTTTTGTTGCTGTGTTTTTTACTAAATGACCATGTTTAAATTTTAACAACCCTTTTCTTTGTTGCTGTGATTGTTATGGTTTACCTTATGTTAAATAAAAAAATTGTCTTTTTTGCTGTGATTGTTAAATGGTGACCTCATGTTTTAAAATAACAAATTTTTCTTTTTTGGGGTTTTGATTGTTATGGTGACCCCATTTTTTTAATATAACAACTTTTCTTTGTTGCTGTGATTTTTTTACTGGTGACCTTTGTTAAAAATTTAACAAAATTGTCTTGTTGGTTATTGTTACTTGTGCCTATTTTAATTTTAACAATTTTTCTTTTTTGCCCGTGATTGTTATTTGGGGGACCTCATGTTAATATAAACAACTTGGGCTTTTTTACTGTGTTTTTTATAGTGACCTTTATGTTAATATAAAAAATTGTCTTTGTTACTGTGATTGTTACTAGTGACCTCAGGTTAAAGCGCAACTTGTTTCACAAAAATTTGTAATTTAAATTTTTACAGCTGTTTTGAGGGCCTTTCAGTAATGGAAATTTCTTGTTTTATATTATCCCGTGATAATGAAAATATTTACATGTTTATATCAGGTTTTCAGTTTATAATGTATTTTTCCTATAAAAAAATTTGTGGCCCTGGGCCCCCGGATTCTTTTTGTGCCTTCCCAATTGAATTTATTGATTTGGGTTGTGATTTGCCGGGGACTTCCCGGGCCCGGGGTTTTCCCGATGGTGACCCCCCGGGGTGCCTCTAATCTTTTGACTACCACTCCAGGATGCATATGGGGTGCAAAATAAAAATATTTTAACTAATTTTTAAAATTTTTACTTTTTTAAAAAAGGGTAAATTTAAAAAATTTTAAAAAAAATGGTTGGGAATTTTCCCAAACTTTTTTGGGGGCATTTCCCCGCAAAAAGCAAATCTGTGGGCTTCTTGACCTTTTAAAAGCCCCCGCTTTTAGACGTCCCGGGTTTTTTTTTTAATTTCTTATGATTTTCTTATTCTTTTTTGTAAATTTTTACAGGAAAAAAGGGGTTACTGCCCCTTGTTCCCGGGATTTTGTTGATTTTTCAACTTTTTAAAGGGGGGGTTTGGGAAATTGGCAGTTTGGGGGGGAAAATGTTGTGTATCTTTATACGTATATGCTTTCTAAACGGGTTTTATTTTGAAACCCTCCCGCAAAAAAAGGGTTTTTTATGGGGGAGTGAGGTGAAAAATGTTTAATTTATGATGAAAAATTTTTTTTTTTTGGGGAAATTTTTTTTCTTTTTTGGGTCACCCCCGCCTCGGTGGGAGACAAAACGGGCTTGTTGAAAAAAAAATTTTTTGCTTATTTTAAGGATTTGGGTTTTCTTAGTGTCTCATGCTCAAAAATTGGGGTATTTGTGGGGACAGGAATTTTCAGTTTTTTATATATTTTTATCTAAGGGATATTTTTTTATGTCAGCAAACCAGAGAAGTGCAAAAAAACTTTTTGTAAACCCCCATCTTTTGGAATAAATGTTATACACAAAAGGGAAAATTTCATTTCATTTACTTTAAAAAAACTAGCTGGGGTTTCTCACACTTAATAGGGAAAAATTTAACAAAAACCCGGATTTTGGGTTTCCATTAAATTTTTTTCTTTTAGTTTTTAATTAAAACTTTAAATTTTTTTTAATTTTTTTTCCCACTACAGCTTGGCCCGTGGGGGAGTAGGGGTGTCTGTTTTTTGGGATTAGCGGTCGGAGGATCGAGCCTCCAACACTCCTTGCACTGAATGACCCACACAGGTTTAGCTCCTCATATAAGTATTTAAAAAATTTTTTTTTTTTTAGGCTAATATTGTGTAAATAACAGAAGAATGTAACCATTTTTAAATATGGTATACAATACCAACAAGATGAAAATTTAGACACTTGTACAAACATCTGGGTATCTTTATTTCTGACAAGTTGTACAAGAATGGTACAATACTGACAAGATGAAAATTTAGACACATGTGCAAACATCTGGGTATCTTTATAATAAAGGTACCCAGATGTTTGCATATGTGTCTAGATTTTCTTCTTGTTAGTATAAAATACCATTCTTGCACAACTTGTCAGACACTGCAACTTCACAGAATCTTTGTTCAGAGGACACCTACATGACCTTCATGGCTACTACAACTACTACTACAGCGTACCCATCTCTTTGGGTATGACCTACTTCCACTGGGAAATCCTGCCTACCAGTGACTATGCCCTCATCTACTACCCGTCCCTTTCCACCTGACAATTAGTATAGAATAAGCGCCAGTTTCCTTGACTGTACTCCAGAATCTACACAACTATGGTGCTCTTCACACCAACTCCAAGGCTGAGGGACTGATTATCTCATCTTTTGTATTTAGTTCTAATGTCTTCAAATTATGTCCTGGAATCTGTATTGATAAAGCCACTGGATGGCAAAACATCTCTAATAAAGATACCCAGATGTTTGCACATGTGTCTAAATTTTCATATTTTTAAATAAGATGCAGTGAATCCTGTAAGAACAATAAGAGCAGCAACTAAAAATTAGAAAGATAAACTTTTATGTACTGTACTTTATTCAAGATTTTATGTACTGCACTTAAGTACAGACTTTTATGTACTGTACTTAATTACAAACTATGTGTACTGTACTTAATTACAAATGCATAGGTAATTTCATGCAAGTTAGATGTTGTTCCTATTGTTATATAGTATGTAATGAGTATGAAATTTATACAGTTGCAAATACCATAAACATGTGAGTTGAAGATTATGGATTATTAAAGTGATTTGTTATGTGAAATTAAATACTTTAAGCATATTCTGTACAGCATATACATACATATCTGTACAATTATGTATGCTCAGCATGTATTCTTTAAATATGAGCTAGTGGCAGATTTATACTATCATATTTATTAAAAGCTTTGTATATAAAACCTTGAAAAGCTAGCTTTTCATTTTTTACACAAATACCATAGATTAGTTCAAAGCACATGACTGTTTTTGTTTAATAAATGCAATTTGCTTCCAGCACGGTGGTGACGATGGGTGGTGCGAGGAACTCAGAGCAGGTTCTCTTGAATATAGACCATGTGCAGCAGCGGCATACTTGGGACTGTGGTCTGGCATGTATCATGATGGTTTTATCACCACAAAGTCGCACTAGATTCTCAGCCAGGCTATATCAGATATGCCAGGAAGAAGGCTTTGACAAAAGGTATAGACAGTACTGTATTATTGTATCTTGCTTTTGTGTACTCAAATTAGCAAATTGTTTATGACAGTTCATCAGCAGTGGCATTTTCTGCTATATATACCATACTGTATATAGCATTGTGTCTCAAACTTCAGCTTAGTTTTTGCCTGTATGCATTACTGTATTCATTGAACAGTTTTTTCTTGTTCTTTATCTCCTAGATCTTTAGTCACCATTCTACCCTTTCTCATATTTCATGTCCTTGTCATAAAAGAATACCTGCCATCTTTTACTCTCTTCTTGTGTATATAGTTTTTCATTCAACTACTGCATTTCTTACAGAGAAAATAATTATAGTTTCTCTCTGTGCAGTTAAATCATTTTTATGCAGTATGAGTCAAGTTGCAGGTAATAATTTACCTATATAACCCATATTGCTATACACTCTGGCCCTTATGTATTCTCTCTCCTTGAATTAGCAAGAAATGACCCACAAGTCACTAAAATCCAGGGTTTTATCACTCGTTGCCTGGTTGGTTGTCTCTGCTCAATATGCCACTAGTGTCCTTGCCTGTACCCAGAAATTAGAAACTCCCTATTTTATATTATCGGTACATATTCCTTTCATTATTATGCTCTTTTTGTTCTTGGTTCTTCTGTGTCTTCCTCCTTGCCTTCATCTTCAGTATCCATGGTCTACGTCATTATACAGCACAGTCAGAACTCTGCATCATTATAAACTATCTTTGTTTCTTTCTTTTTTTGTCTTTCATAGAAGGTTGGCTTGCCCTTGTTTCAGCTTTCCATGGATTCATTCTGAGTGATCATTTGATTTTCCGTAGGTCAGTCATCCAGCCATTGGAGGTTATCATGTGGCTGGTCAGGTGCCAGCTCCACTGCATGGAACTACACCTATGCTGAAACACATATTGTATAAAGAAATTTTCATATATGTATAGTTGTACAAATGTAAACAATACATGGTACACTTATTTTTATATACTAGTATAAAACACAAATAGTTTAGATAAAACCAGAGACATCAGAAATTTTTTATTGTTTGCAAACAGTGCACATTGTAGCTCTTAGCACTCTGCTAACCCTGTATTGTTGAAGTTTGTCTTTCTCTCCTGCTCAATTCTTTCTTGCAACATTACATGGTCATTGTGCCTTCTTATCACAAGACTAGAGGACGTATTCATTCATGTGTATTTTCTCTATATCTGATTCACTATAAAAATGCACACAAATTGACCCTATTAATCCTAGCTGCTTTACCTTTCATTTTACCCACTGTCTCACACAGCTCCACCACTCTCACATCTGTCTTTTCCTCACTCCTAAAGAATGTTATACCTCCCTGGCCAGTGCATGAAATCACTGCCTCCCTTTCTTCACCCTTTAACAGCTCCTCAAAATATACCCACCATCTTTCCAACACCTCCAATTCCTCTCTTCTGTTTTTGACTGTCAGATCCATTCATTCCTTAGGCTCTCTCGACCTATTAATCTCACTACAAAACTTTTTCTTTTTCTCAGCATAATTTCTTATTGTAATTTAATTTGCCTTTTCTCCATGGGAAAGTGGAGAAGAATCCTTCATCCATAAGCCATATGTGCCATAAGAGGTGACTAAAATTCTGGGAGCAAGGGGTTAGTAACCCCTTCTGTATAAATTACTAAATGTAAAAAGAAGAAAAACTTTATGAAAGCATTTCTTTTTCAGGTTACCTTGTCTCAGTGGGAGATGGCCGGTGTATTAAAAAAATTGCCTTTTGTTTAACTTTTAATTAGCTTGTGACAAGTATGTGGTTTTAATTTTGATTCTTTTACAGTACGTGGAGTATTGACCTGGCATACTTGCTTCAGAGATTTGGTATCAAGCATCGGTACATGACGGTAACTTTGGGTGTTGACCCAGGCTTCTCCACTGAGAGTTTTTATGACCATGTGCTCAGCAAGGTAAGATTCTTTCCCCTCCCTCCTTACGTTGCAGTAAAACTTATTGTAATGTTTAAATTGGTGAGATTAAAAATTCACAGTATAAGTGCCAATACTGTCCTATTTTCCAGTTTCACAATATTTAAGTGTATGCATACAGAAAGTGTCCAAACCCAGAAATTTACCAGAGGCTCAAGCAAGTTCAAAATGAATACTAGTAAACCAGTGTTATATAAGAAGATAAAATTTGAAAAAGGATCAGAATCAAATCTATTCAGATATCTAGAGAGCAAACTAGTATATTCAGAGAACCAGTAACTATGACAAAATCAGCCGATCAGTAGAAGAAATATGTTGGTTTCCAGATAACTTGCAAGTATGGTGTAAGCTTAAGGTTTAGCTAACATGAAGCTACCCCTGGTTCTGTGTAATAGTGTGAGAAGTGTTGATAAGAGCACAGTCTAAATATTCTTTGTCTTATTCTTTGATAATTAATTTTGCTTCTGTCCATTTTGTAAGGTGATTATAAGGATCTCAAAAGCTTAATGCATGCATTAGTTACTGTGTGCATTCTTCATGTGCACTGGTGTTCTCTGACCTGTGTGACAGTGTCTCACAAAGTTTCCCTTATGTAGCATTTGTCACATCCATCACAAAGAATGATATAGACTCCTGTATTTTCTGCAACATGGTGGCTGTGTTTGGCTCTGGTATGATCCTTGATGTAGCAAAACTAATGCTATAACTTACATCATATATGCAAGTTATCCAGGCATCCAGGAGCCAACATATCCTGCAGTGGTCCTTCTCCCTGAGATAGTAGTTTGTTTATAAAAAGCAATAGAGCTCTGATAAGTGACACACACTCTACATTTTTTTTATTCTGTTAAAGCCATAATATGAAGCTAATAAAACCATTGTTTTACTAACAGGATGCGCAGAGAGTGCTGGATCGTTTTAGAGAAGCTGGTAACCAAGGGGTGGTTGTGGAACAAGGAGCTGTCACACTCAACAACGTTATTTCCCATCTCCGTGAGGAAGGTCCGGTTATCTTGCTCACTAATGCTCATCTTCTAATCTGCATAAGGTGTGCAAGGGCTATGCCACATCTTCGTTCTTGTCTTCCCTGTTCACCACCCTATCAAGGGCATTATATTCTCCTTATTGGTTTTGACTTGAAAAAGAACCACATGTATTATAGGAACCCGTCTTTTAAAAATCGTATTTGTTCTATATCTTTTAGTAAACTGGATGAAGCCAGACAAAGTTATGGCACTGACGAAGATGTCATTTTTATTTATAGTAATTCAAAACGTCAAAATTCGTCGTAGAATTGGGTAGATTTCCTTATGTGTGTATATATATTTTTTAAAATGTTAACCTAAAAAAAAAAATGACAAATATAGTGAGATGTGACAGCAGCCTCTCTCCATCACTCAAGGACAGGCTGTAATTAAAATATTGTATTTCATGGACATTTTCATCACTGACTACTATACAGTAGAGTCCCCGTATCTGCGGATTTGGTTTCCATGGTTTCAGTTATCCACCATTTACTATGGCTTGAAAATAATTTTGCTTAATGGCACCAAAGCACAAAGGTAGTGATGATGACAGTTTTTCATGGCCTAAGAGAAACATCTCCGACAGTTGCCTTGCAGCCACACTCCCCCTGCATGGTTTCACGGACCTCCTTTCTCCCATGCTTGCACCTACCTCTCTCCCTCACCTGCATATCCTCACCCACCTGCATATCCTCACCCACCTGCCATTACCCAGTTCTTGACTTATTGTGCGTAATTTACCCATTAAACTTTATCATAGGTATGCTTTTGGGAGATTCTGAAGAGAAGTTGCAGAGGTTGGTGGATGAATTTGGTAGGGTGTGTAAAAGAAGAAAATTAAAAGTGAATATAGGAAAGAGTAAGTTTATGAGGATAAAAAGATTAGGTGATGAAAGATTGGATATCAGATTGGAGGGAGAAAGTATGGAGGAGGTGAATGTATTCAGAAATTTAGGAGTGGGTGTGTCAGCAGGTGGGTCTGTGAAGGATGAGGTGAATCATAGAATTGATGAGGAGAAAAGGGTGAGCAGTGCACTTAGGTGTCTGTGGAGACAAAGAACTTTGTCCATGGAAGCAAAGAGGGGAATGTATGGGAGTATAGTTGTACCAACACTCTTGTATGGTTGTGAAGCATGGGTGATGAATATTACAACGAGGAGAAGGCTGGAGGCAGTGGAGATGTCATGTCTGAGAGCAATGTGTGATGTGAATATAATGCAGAGAATTCGTAGTTTGGAAATTAGGAGAAGGTGTGGGATTACCAAAACTATTATCCAGAGGGCTGAGGAGGAGTTGTTGAGGTGGTTCAGACATGTAGAGAGAATGGAACGAAACAGAATGACTTTGAGAGTGTATAAATCTGCAGTGGAGGGAAGGCGGGGTAGGGGTCGGCGTAGGAAGGGTTGGAGGGAGGGGGTAAAAGAGGTTTTGTGTGCGAGGGGCTTGGACTTCCAGCAAGCGTGCATGAGCGTATTTGATAGGAGTGAATGGAGACAAATGGTTTTTAATACTTAACGTGCTGTTGGAGTGTGAGCAAAGTAACATTTATGAAGGGATTCAGGGAAACCAGCAGGCCAGACTTGAGTCCTGGAGATGGGAAGTACAGTGTCTACACTCTGAAGGAGAGGTGTTAATGTTGCAGTTTTGTAACTGTTGTGTAAAGCACCCTTCTGGCAAGACAGTGATGGAGTGAATGATGATGAAAGTTTTTCTTTTTCGGGCCACCCTGCCTTTGTGGGAATCGGCCAGTGTGTTAATAAAAATAAAATAAAAAGTATGTAAATGAAAAACAGATACATAAGGTTTGCTACTGTCTGTGTTTTTGAGTATCCACAGTAGGTCTTGGACTGTATCACCCACAGATATGGGGGGACTACTGTATATCCATATATTTGTGAGTAATGACAACAATTTAAAATGGTTATTGAAGATCTCGGTTTGTTGGTTATTCTCTTTTGTTCTGAGCAGCTGCTGCTGGCTTCTAAATTATTATTACATTTATAGAGGTTAAAGAGGTTAAAGAAATCGTAGATGGAGAGAGATGAAGGTTGAAGGTAATGAAAGGACAAAAAAAAAGGCAGTGAAGGATTGCAGCTCATGTAGCAAATCAGAATCAGTTAAGGCAGGGCTATCAGAGGAGGGCAGACAAAGTTAAGCAGTACGAGACAGCTGGTCCCTGACCAGGCCTCCTGGTTGATAGCCTGATCAGTCATGCTATTGTTGCTAGCAGCATGCAGTCCAACATAAGCACAACAGCAAGATGGATCAGGAACTGCCAGGAAGAATGTGTTGAGTTACCTCTTGAAGAATTGTCTTATTTAAAAGATTTGCCTGATATTTTTTATATTTCTCATATTATATGATCTATTAGCCATTTTTTTTTTCTTTTAATTTTTATTATGCCAACACTGCTGACTTCAGGTTAAATTAATTACAAGTTTTTGTATTTACTGTATAGTTAAAATGAGCAACTACATTATATAAACTAGACAACAGTAATGCTGTATTAAAGACCGTCTCAAGCCTAAATCTGTGTACTAATGGTGTCATTGTTTATAAATATAAAATATTTTTGTTACAGTACCAGTCGATACTCAGAAGGACATTGGAAAAAAAATTGGAGGTTTATCTGCTACTATGAACATGTATTGTGCGTATTTGATAGTGATGAGCTAGGAAAGTTGTTGCCAACATATGTAATAAGACTTGAATCCTCTTCTGGAAGTGGTAATGGGAAAATCACTCACATCAAGGTCTCAAAATATATTAATAAATTATATTTTCAAAGTACATAATTGTTACAAAATTAGGTTACATTTCAAACATTTTGAAAAGCCTGTATTTTGCAGAGCATTTCTGGCAGATTAAAACTGGACCTTATAACTGTGTGATGTTGTATGATTAAGATTACATTATTTGAATAATTACTTTAATTAAGTTGTATGAAGACTATTATTATATTTATGCAAAGTACGTATACCAAATCTGTGTGGATCATTCAGCACGGGGAGTAGTGGAGGATCAATCCTCCAGTTGCCAAGAGAAGCTGAAAGTGTGTATATGTATGGGGGTAAGATTATTATAAAGTAATAATTAATTTAATTAACAACAAATCTGTACAGTATATTAAAACACCAATGTTAATATGAAGAGATAGTATTACATAACTGTATTGACAATTTTAGCTGTAATAATTATTGTTTGGGTAGAAATATAGTAGCAACAGTAAGTTCAAGTATGAATTTTGTGTGGAATCTTAGATAAGCAAGAGTTGCATTACATTTACATATATTTGTTATTCATATTTGATCTATGTAAATTTACAATAAATTCAAGAGTTGTTTTGTCACTATTGAAGCAGCTGGCAGATAGGGAACCTTCAGAATCTTTTGGTAAAGAGTTCCATATTTTTGGATGTTTATCACATGGAGTTTCTACTCAGGTTAAATTAGACATGTAGGATATCAGATATATGTTTCTTATGTTGTGTGTCTGCATTCTGTTGCAGCTTTTCAGGCAGAGTTTTAGGATTTGGTCAAAATTTGTGGTGCATATATGCATATGTTCTTACATATATGCATACATACTGTATAGTATGCACAGTAGCAAGTGTGGATATTTTATATATTGAATAAATTTATACTATTGAATAGTAGGGGTGTGTATGTGTTGTCTGGAACCAGATTAAATGATCATTCTAATAATAGGTTGTTGTTGAGTTGTGGTATGTTTTAAGTGATTTGGTGTTGTAGATCCCAATACACATATACCATAAGTGAGGTAAGGATAGATTAGAGCATAGTACAGGGTGAGTAATGTTTGAGGTACATAGTATTGTATTTTAGAAAGAATGCTCAGTTTTTAGTTATCCTCATAGATATGCACTGGATGCAAGTGTTGAACAGTGGGGTAAAGGCACTATGTTGTAGGAAAAGTTTTATTACTTCTACAACATTTTATCCAGGGCTGAAACTTATCAGTACAGTATAAAAAAAATGCAGATACACAGCCTTGTAAGGTACCTTGAGGTCAGGCTTAAGAGAGGTCAAAGGTGGGGTAAAGGGAAGACTCAGGGATAAGGCAGGAGTTGATGTGAGGGGCCAAAGATGGGTAACATTCTTAATACTGTATGTATAAGAATCATGGGTGATGTAAGGGATGGATCCAATCATTGCTCTGCCCAGTGGTCTCAGTCAGATGAAAGATAGTTGCCTCTAGGATCCTGTACTTGGTTCTGTCCGCTTGAAGCAGCTGCTGCGTTGCTCCTCCAGTTCATGACATGGGAGTGTAGACTCCAGTAGAAGATGCATGTATGGTTGCCATCATCCATCCTGCATATGTATTTGTGTTCTTGAAGGGAAGTCCAAAGATCACACCCAGTTTTGTGAGTGTAAACCAACATGCAACCCCACATGGAATACTGTAGACCTCAGCAGTGGTGGTGTTTATGGGCAACCCAACAGAAATCAGTAGTTACAAGGCAAGTTAAACATTGCCCTGTAACTATTGATTTCTGTTGGGTCTCCACTTTTGTGGATCAGCATAACTTCATGTGGGAGATGATCCTTGTTGAATTGAGGGAGATAAATGTTAGCATATATCTTCAGTATCAACTGCTAAAGGGAGCCACTTCCAGTTTCTAATAACTGATGCAGTCTGTTAAATCTTTAACAGATGTATTTGTGCAAAGTAAAAAAAAAAAAGCCAAGAAAATGTGAAGTTATGTAATGTAGTGTATTTGGATATTCATTCATCAGCACGGAGAGAATTCATTGTAAGCTACCTCTGTAATGTATATAAATATATATATTATAGTGAGTGTTATATATATTATAATAAGTGTTATATATATATATATATATATATATATATAATAAGTGTTATATATATATATAAAATTTTTTTTTAACAAGTGTTATCCACCTACTGGAAGGGAAAAACGAAATTATGTTTGAACATTGTGTTAAATATACAGGATAAATGTTACTAGAGAACCTAGTCCCGCATTTTATTTTAAAACATGCTTTGAGGAAATTTGTTGCATCCCCTGGAGATAGGGTAATAAACAAGAATAGGCTGGAAAATGAAGAAAACCCTGTGTTAATAGCTTGAGAACTGTAGTTATTGTGACCCAAAATAAAATGCAAATCTTGAAAATGTTATAACAATAAAAGGGTCGCATGCACCCCAAGTAAAGTTCAATTTTTTATACACTAGTTGGCAGACGGTAGTCCTCCTAGGGGTTAGTTTCTAAACCAACCACACCTTTTAAAATATAAATAGCCATAATAAATACCCATAATATTAAATAAATAGACCAAAAATAATCTATATATAAAAATGTAAATTATTGATGTTTTTCCCTTAATCCTTATTTATATGTGATAGAAGTATTCATGAAATCATAAAAACATGTTGCAGGAGAAACCTTGTGATTTTTTTAAAAGAATATTGTGAAGTATTTAAAGCAATATTGTATTTCTGTTGGTTGAAATTGAAGTATTTCCTCTGTCTCCAGAAGCAGAGAACTTATGCTAGCTTTATTGTTTATATAATAAATTTGTGATTAAGCATAAATAGACGTCTGTCTTGTCATATTTTTAAAATTGTTATCTTAATTTGGAAATAGTACACCAACAGCACTGGAAAAAGAGATGAAATTGCACAGGTCAAACTGAAAAAAGTTAAAAGAAGGAAAAAATAATATTTAAAAATTAAGTATTGTGTATTTTCCATTTTTGAGGGTTTTTAAATCATAACAACATGATTGCAAACAAATCTTGTATTTAAAAAGTACTTTCAGTATTTTATAAAGTATGTTTTGTTGAGTGTTTTTAATTCAAAATTTTTCTCTGTCTCCCAAATAGTTTAAAAACTTCTTTAATTGTATTATTAACCCTGTTGTGAGTGACATAATTAAGGCTTCTTGTTCAACCTTATAGATATACATTCTTGAATTGAAACAGTACCCTAGACCACTCGGTAAATGAATTCGTGCAAGGGAAACAACTTAGAGAGGGGGTTTTTGTAAATTTCATCTTTGATAATAAAACATATTTTAGCCATTTTCAAGATATTTATATGTACTACAGTATTTTTAAAAGTAAGTTTTAAGATTGAGTATTTTTCTTCAAGAATTTTTGTTGTCTCCCAAGTAGTTTAAAACTTATTTATTATTTATGATACTTGCTGTGCTGAGTGAGCATACATTCAAGGCTGCTTGCTTTACCTTATAGCATATACAGCTTCTCCTCAGTTAACAACAGTTCAGCTCCTAAGACCACGTCGTTAAATGAATTCGTCGCTAAGTGAGAAGCATACTATAATGATGGTGGGTTTGTGTCAACCATCTTTGATAATATATTGTTTTAATGTCATCTTTGAACCATTTATAACATTTCCGGTACATTTTTAAATGTTTATACAGTAGTGTACTGTATACTGAAATAAACAGAATTGAGGAAATCCACTCTAATATACATTATTTAGGTATAATACTGGTCAGAGAGCCCTTTGTAAGTCCGAGGCGTCAGAAAACTAGTACGTCGCTAAGTGAGGAGAGGCTGTACGTATTTTCTTTTTACCACATTTATCGTTTCCCATCAAGGAAGGGTAACTCAAAGAGGGAAACATTCATTGTCACTCATTCAATACCTCTCTTGCCAGAAATACACAAACACACACATCACGATTCAAATGACCCTCTGAACTGCAGTTTTCTCACTTACATATTGTTTAGAGTGCAGGCACTGTATTTCCCACCTCCACAACTGAATCCCTTCATAAATGTTACCTTCTTCACACTGATGGCACATACAGTGAACCCCCAGTTTATGATATTTTTTCATTCCAGAAGTATGTTCAGGTGCCAGTACTGACCGAATTTGTTCCCATAAGGAATATTGTGAATTAGATCAGTCCATTTCAGACCCCCAAACATTCACGTACAAACGCACTTACATAAATACACTTACATAATTGGTCGCACTGGGAGGTGATCGTAAAGCGGGGGTCCACTGTATTTATTAACTTGTATATACGTACTATTGTTAATTAATATTTGATGAAATATTCAGACTAATAATGCTCATTGGAAAGTCACAATGGTATAACTGCATACTTATCCATGCATCACCCAAGTGTCATGTAATCACTAATTACTGTATAGCATACCATCAAAGAAAACTTTAACATTATTGCATTTATGTGACAACACTCAAAAAATGTTCCATACATATGTTTTACATTTATGATAAATAAATAAACTTAGAGTTCTGGGATAAACATTACTCACACACCAATGTGTTGCCTAAAACAGTTCAATTTTAAATCCATTATTTCAATTTTGTTCATTCTTAAAATTCTTAGTCTGTGACTAAATGATCTGTTTAAATCACACTCCTATTAATGTCTTGTGTATATTCTTGAGTAGGAAACTAACCCTTATTTTTTTCCTAATTTATCAGTTCAGTTTACAGTTGAGAAGAAAAGACACATTGCAGAACAAATATTTATGGGACATTCTACACTGCAGAACAAAATGTTGTCCCAATACAGCCTTATTCTGCAGTAGTTTTTTTTTTTCTCTAGTGTCAGCAGTATGCCATTTGGATTCATTTAACACCTGTTTGGGGAGAGAAGGAAGATGTGATGGACTCACTAACTTGAGAATACAAGTTGTGGATATGATAGGTTGTGGATATTGATATTTATTTACCTAATCACTGTTAACAAGATTCTCCCAATAATGATCTTGCCAGTTTGAAAGTTTTGCTGTGCTGTATATAACTAGCACTGAATTTTTATTTTTGTCAAAATTTGTATTCTGTATAGTAAATATGTGTGTGTATATAAATAAAAGTTATTTGTTTGTGTGATGTAATTTTACTATACAGTATGAGGAAGTGGTAAAAGTCACATTATATACTATACACAGTTTAAAAGGAGGCATGAGGTACACAAATACCCACACATAGGAGAGAAACTCATGATGACCCTGAGTCTTGACATTGAGTACCTCTTCACTAATGTCATTTTTGATGATCTCAATTTTCTTAGAGTGAAGGCCAGTGAAGGACTACTTCATCTTCCTATACCTGCTGATATCTTTCTTGATCTTATTTGCCTTTGTGTGGACTCCAACTTTTTTTCTCTTGTAATTCGTTCTCTCACCTTTGCTACTCTTGTGATTTCATGAACTCTGCCTTCTCATATGCTAAATGGACTTTCTTCTCAACCAAACTCTCTACTCCTGTGAAATCTGTTCCTTGGCATTCCTATATATCCAGTCTCTCAGATCTTAACAACTCTCTCTATTCCTTGGACATCAAACTTACTTTTTATCAAATTAACACCCTTCATAGTAATCTAGTTCATACCTCTCATACTACTGTGGCTTCTGGAGTCTACTCCATTTCCTGCTCTTGTCCTCTCCAGTACTTTGGAGAAACTGGCCTCTCTCTGATGGACTTAAAGACACAAAAATGCTTGAATTCTCAACACTAATAATGCTCGTTTTCTGTCATGTTAGAGATCACAGTCGTCCTATTAACTGGTCCTCTAAAACTGTCTTCCCTTCTAGCCTTCACAAATGCTGTATGTTGAAGCATCCCTTATACACAACTTTCCTAATGGTGAGTTCTTTCCTAGGTGAGTTCTGTCCTATGAGTTTTTCACCTGTGTTTTTGGTCTCACCCTCATGGGCCATTAGGTCTCCTGCAGTGCTCCTTTTCTTCTTTCTCCTGTCCTTTACTACTACTACTACTACTACTACTACTACTACTACTACTACTACTACTACTACTACTACTACTACTACTACTACTACTACTACTACTACTACTACTACTACTACTACTACTACTACTACTACTACTACTACTACTACTACTACTACTACTACTACTACTACTACTACCTACTACTACTACTTACTACTTACTACTTACTACTTACTTCCACCTCCACTACTACTGTTACTTTGCTAACATTCCACTCCGAATCTTGTCACTACCACTACTCCCTTCTTATTACCACCTCTGCCCCTATTGCATTAACTACTAGTACTACCTCCTCCTCCTCATTCTCCAGGTACTACCCCCCCAAACACACACATTATTTATCATTAACACATTGGCTGTTTCCCACCAAGGCAGGGTGGCCTGTTAAAGAAAAACTTTCATCATTCACTCCATCACTGTCTTGCCAGAGGCATGCTTACACTACATTTATAAAACTGCAATACTAACACCCTTCCTTCAGAGTGCTGGCACTGTATTTCCTATCTCCAGGAATCAAGTCTGGCCTGCCAGTTTCCTTAAATACCTTCATACATGTTACCTTGCTTACACTCCAGCAGCACATCAAGTCCTAAAAGCCATTTGTCTCCATTCGCTCCTATCTAATACGTTCACACATGCTTGCTGGAAGTCCAAGCCCCTCGCACACAAAACCTCCTTGACCCCCTCCCTCCAACCTTTCCTAGGTCAACCCCTATCCCACCTTCCCTCCACTACAGATTTATACACTCTCAAAGTCATTCTGTTTTATTCCATTCTCTCTACATGTCCAAACCATTTCAATAACCCCTCCTCAGCCCTCTGGATAATAGTTTTGGTAATCCTGCACCTCCTCCTAATTTCCTAACTACAGATTCTCTGCATTATATTCACACCACACATTGCCCTCAGACATGACATCTCCACTGCCTCCAGCCTTCTC